CAGCCAATGGCCGCCGCTACTCGCGCGCCTCCGTAAAAGGACAGCCCCGGGCCCCGAGGCTCTCCAAGGATGAGCGGTTTTAGTTCTCGCCCGACCTGCTTTGCTGCGCTGCGTTCAGGAACCCTTGCCCTCAGTGCTGATTTTTACTCGTGTTCACTAGTTAGGATGGTGGCGATTTACCCTGCTTTCTGGCGCTAGGTTGAGCCCGAAGATAAGGCTTACTCTTCGCTCTAAACTCAGTTCCAGAGAAACCTAAGCGCTTGAAACTTCGAGGAAGCCGGGCGGGAGCTGAGGCAGGAGGATCGCTGCGACCAGGGCTGCAAAGTGAGCTCGAGGCCAGCCGCAACCGCAGAGCGTGACCCTGTCTCAAAAGGACAACAAAGTAAAACAAAAGCAGGAGGATAGGACACAAGAATATGCTAGGACAGTTAGCATGCAGACTCCAGATGAATTCAGAGTAAACAGTGACCCACTCTGTGAGATTAGAGATGGATGGCCCACTCTGTGAGATTAATCCCTCAGCCCCTCAGCGGTGATTGTGATTCCTTGACATTTATTGCTCTTCCCTGACGAAGCCTTCATTTTTGCAGGGAAGAATCGCCTTAAATGGCAAAGTGACATTTTTATTATAATGATACAAAATCAGGGGGAAAAAAGAATTTAAATTGGTTAATTGATGAGAGTTGAGGAAAAGATGGTAAAGATCTTCCTAAGAGGTAGAAATTGATCCTGAGGTTATTTGTTGGTTGAAAGGATGATGGTAAATTTCTTAAAGAGACGGGTAACCCCAGAAGCAAGAACATGGGCCTCTGCCATAAAGAAAGATAAGACATTTGAGACCACATTCTTTTTCTTTATTGAGACCATATTCTTAAGTGAAATAAATCCTGCATAGGTTTACTGCATTCTCAGATATGAGAAACTGAAAGTGTAAATTAGGACCAAAATGTATAATATGTATTGTGAAATGGAAAGAAAATATTCAAATGAGAAGGGAAATGGTGTGGGGAGGAGGAAAGGAAAAAAGGGACAATAAATATAAGAATAGAAAGGAAAAAATGGAAACAAAGCTTTTGTAAATAAAGGAGGGCAAAAGGGGTTGAATGGAGGGGGATGGGAAAAAGAAGCAAGATATACTGTATACAGGTACAAATTCCTTATGATGAATGGTATCTTTATGTATATCCAAAATGTACCAATAAAAATTCAAAAGTATGCGTGTGCAAAAAAACCTTCAATGAATGCAAACATTTGATTATTAAGCTGAATTGGCTGTGGTATTATTTCTTGACTTTTAAAAATTCATCTCAAATACATTATCTATTACCATGAATGTAATACTCGATTAAAGCTTAGAGGATGCATCTACTAAACTATTAGAACTGCCTAGTGGCTTGAAATTTACAGAACGTATTAGCCAATTATGTTGGTGCCAACATCCACTTGCATGGTTTATAAACCTGAGTTTATGGGTGCTGTCTATTTTATCTTAGCTCACTTCTCTGTTTTGCTTTCTCCAATCAAAAAGATGGCAGTTTGAACTATCATGAAACTGCTGGTATCTGACAATTTTTACTCTTCAGAAATAGAATGTTCCCGTGGCTCCACCCAACAGCATATCGTTTTTGTCCCCTTTAGTTGATGTGAGGAGATAGGAAAGCCGAGTACCTGCCTCACAGTTAACATTCAATAAGTGAACATTGCTATTCTTAGTGCCTCTATACTTTCCCCTATCATCCAGTTCTTGTAATAAATTCCTAACATGAGAGCACAGCAGGTATGTTGTTTTTTAAGAGTTATACATGGTTTATGTTTTTTGGTCTTTTTAAGACAGGGTCTCCCTATGCAGTCCAGGCTGCTCATGAGCTCACTTTGAGCCCAGGTTGGTCTCTAACAGTCTTCCTGCCTCAGCCTCCTAAGTGCTGGGATTATAGGCATGGGCCACCACACCTGACTTCTTTCCTCTTCACAGCACCTCAGTTAACTTATGTGTTAACAAGTCTTGGCCAGTAGTAAGCATTGGGGCCCTGATCCAAACCTAGGTCCTTTAGTTGCAAACTCTTTCATCTTCCATAGTACAGATAATTTAAATTCTTGATGTGTTTTTGCATGATTTGTTTTTTAATGCCAGTACTGCTGTAATTTACTCCCAATTATATTTGATGATACCATGGCCATAGCACAACTTTAAGAGCAGGGAAATTTAATCTCTTAAATTTATTCCGAAGATGAAACCAAGCGATGCAGATCTAGAGAACTTGGTTAAGTAAGTCATTTTGAGCGAGTCATTTTTCTCCTGTCAAAAAAAGGAAAATATAGCACATATCTTTGGGAATAGTCTAAATTTTATTGCTAAGTGCTTTAACATTCTTTCTCAAATGCTTTGTAAATCTAAGAGTATAGTTGTAGGATCTGCTACCATTGTTCATGCTCCCCTTTAAAAGCATTTCTAGGGGCTGGTGAGATGGCTCAGTGGTCTAAAGCACCTACTTAAAACAAGCTAAGCAAAGCACTAGGACCGCGGTTCAATCCCCCAGCACCACATGCCAGCCAGCCCCGCCCCCTGGTGGGCTGAACTGGCCACACACACACAAAATAAATAAATAAATAAATATTCTAAAAAAATTAAATAAAAGCATTTCTAGCTGGCCACAGTGATGTGTGAATCGGCATTGCAAATGTGCAGGGAGCAAGCACTACATCCTTTTCTTGTGGTTCCTATTCTAGTGCAAACAAATGTAAAATAATACTGTGGCTGTTACTATGAACTAAGGATACAAATTATTGAATTGACATGTGGTTTATATAATCATGATGGGGAATGACTTGCTGCTGAATCTGGTGAGAAGAACAAAGGCTCTCAAGCTGCACCAACCCAAAGTGCATGGTCTTCACTGTGCCCTTGCCAGTGGGAAAGAGAAAGCGTTACCACGATGGGCTTAAAAAGTGATAAGATTTACTCAGATCAGGAAAATAGAAGATAGGCTATTTTACAGCAAATAGACTCAATCATCAGGGCGCCAATGAGAGAATGTTCCATCAGGGGCATTAGAATAGAATGCTCTATCAGGGTTGGTATTGACCATGAAAATTACTGAAATTCCTGTGTTCAAGTACAGTAGAAATCATGCCACTGCTAAAACGAATCTATTATCTCCAGCAGGGTCATATAAGATTGCCTGGAGGCCTTCTGTATTTGCGTCTGTTTAGCTTTATTATCACCCTGATAAGTAAAAAGAAAATGATTCTTATTCTTTCTCATCTGATGAAAGTTGGAAGAGGTTGTTAGCAGTAACTAAAATTTGTATGATAAGAAATACAACTGTATAAAGAATCAATCAATATTTAGGTCTGAATGTATATGTCACAATGAAAATTCTATGATTTTTTTTTTGTTTGTTTTTGTTTTTGTTTTTTGGAGTACCATGGATTGAACTCAGGACCTTGCACTTGTAAGGCAGGCCCTTATGCTGCTGAGCTATCTCCCTGGCCGAAAATTCTGATTGATCACGTGACACATTATTATTGGTACAACTATTGAGAAGTTAATTAAGTTCAGGCTGAACATCAGTTTTAAGGTTCAAATAGTCATTCAGTTTAGAAATAATGATTAATTGGCCTAAAAGCATGAATATTAAAGTTGAAATTAAGTTGGTGGGAAAGCATATGTAACAAATGTTTATATAATGAGGTTAAGAAGTATCTTTGTAAATATTAATTACAGTAGTATTTGGTGCTATTAAAATGGTAAGCAAACTTATGATGGAAGAGAATAAATTTCTTACTTTTATTTGGAATTGCCCCAATATTTTCCCTCCTAAATCTACAGATTCTTTTTGCCTTTTAAAGTTCAGAAAGTAAGACTGGGTGTAGTGGTGTGCACCTGAATTCCCAGCACTCGGGAGACTATTGCAGGGGCATTGTTGTGAGTTCAAGACCAGCCTGGGTTGAAAGTGAGCTGAAGCCCAGCCTGCTCTGCACAGGGAGACCCCATCTCAAAAAGATAATGAAAGAAAGAAGGAAGAGGGGAGGGAGAGAGGGAGAGAGAGAGAGAGAGAGAGAGAGAGAGAGAGAGAGAGAGAA